TTCCTTTCTTCCTTTCTTCCTTTCTTCCTTTCTTCCTTTCTTCCTTTCTTCCTTTCTTCCTTTCTTTCTTTCTTTCTTCCTTTCTTCCTTTCTTTCTTTCTTTCTTTCTTTCTCTGCCTGAAAGACTAAGAACCAGGTGCTCTGTCCTGGCCACAGCAGGGCTGTTTCCCCCCCCCAAACGTGTGAACATCACCCCGCTTCACGTGTCGGGGTGCTCCAAGCTCGGTTCGGGTAGGCTCCGGGGTGCCCCTGTCACATCCACGGCCCCTGGATGGGTCTAAACTCGTCCTCCAAGTCTTCAAGATCCAACCTCGACACAATGGAGCACCCTGTCCTGCGCTTTGTGGGGCAAATGGAGCTCACCCAGTAACTCCTCATTGCTTGGAAAAGGACATCCCTTATCTATCTACCTACCTACTCCTAGTACCACTACTGGAGCAGTACCACCACTACTACCAACACTCTCAACATTGGCTAGCTCCCACGGGCGCACCCACGGCCGTCCGCCCAGGTGGCGCTCCTGCAGCGACTGCTGCACGCGATTCCGGGCGCAAAAGCGGAGGCCGTGCAGCCCAGGTGTGGCGGGGGGCATGGGACGATGGGAAAGCTCTGCAGTGTCCAATCGAAGAAAGAGAGGTTCAGGAGACCTGGGTAGTTCATAGAGGAGCCTGTAGTCGTGGAAGAGGATGGCATCGATGAAAAAGGATGCTGGGCTGTGAAAAACCTCTCTATAGAAAGGCGCGGGACCTCTGGAAATGCTTTGCAACATTTTGGCACCAATCGTGGATGATCAACAGATCATCGGCGTTTGAGTGTCTAGTCTTTTTCGATTCTATTTGGTCAGGTGAGTTGTGACTGTCGCCACGTAGTTGCAACACAGTTCGCCACGCTGCGTTGGATTTCAGTGTCCCGGAAAAGGAGAGCGAGTCTAGCGGGGGCTAGCAGGCTCAATGTTCCTGTATCGAACCCATTAAGGTTCCCACTTCACTTGACCCCTAACTGTATAGGTTTCTGGTTAAGGGGAAGAAGATCAGTGACCAGACCCCCATGGGATTATACCAAGCCTCTTCATCTTATATATTTTCACGGGTGACCTTGAAATGGGAAGTAACCAAGCCGCCACCGGCGCAACCTGTGCAAACCATTCTACCGCCGGGTGGCCTGTGCAGTTGGATTGTATGGCTGGATGCTGATGCGCTACTGTTGGACTTCGAGACACGTTTGGAAGACTTGCTGGAGGACTTTGATTTGAAGCTTGGATCACCTGACGTCAAGTCACGACGCCTGTTGTGTTGGTCACACGACGCGGACGTTGTTTCGAGCAAGAGATTGGAGCGCAGAGACCTTTGGATTTCTTGCCTTGGATGGAGCAGCCCCCAGATTCGATGGGCTCATGCTTCACGGAAGCCCCCCAGATTCGATGGAGCAAACCGAGCCGAATCGACCCAAGCACGAAGCGCACTGACAGGGGCACGCCACTTGTCAAAGCAGCTTTTCCATGATCCTCCAGCATGCTGAGGGTTTTTTGGATGACAGATATGACTTGGAAAGGCCCATGCTCAAGACTTATGGGATAAGAGAGGACTGGGATGTTGCTTTGGAACAGAGAGTGTGACGGATATGCACAACGGCGCTTGCAGTGTTTTCCACCAAGGATCTTAGCCGAGGATATGTCCTGTGCCAGTGACCTGGAGTGCGCTATAGCTTTGCTCGCTCTGTTCGAGCTTCGCTGGGGTGGTGGGTTGACTACCAGGTGAAACCAGGGACTTTCTTAACGCCGCAGATCTAAGAAGGTCAGGAACTACGGAAGCACCCTAAGAGCTGGAAAAGTGAACCCGTGATGCTTTGTCAAGGGTGGAGATCTGTCGAGTGGGGCGACACTGGTTTGCTGACAAGATGTACACTCTTTGAAATGGTCATGGAAGTGGACAATGGCTTCTTCAAACCCCATTTTCTTCTGCAAGCACGTGGTGTTTTTCCCCTTCCACGTGCTTTTTGGTTCAGAGAGTGTCTTCGGATTTGAACGGTTTCCCTCAAGGCTCGACAAAGCTCAACACAGGGTCACCACTGACCGCCGACCCTCAGGTGAGCTCAACACGGGGGTGATGTTCGTTCGGAGACTCGGCCGCGGGTGAAGCGTTCGTGTTCGGAAGGACACTCGGTGGACATGCGAAAGCGAGCATTTCAAGTCGTCTTGAAGCCTTTGGGTCACCTGGCTGGACAAGCACGAAAAGCACGAAAAACCGATGTGTCTGACACCCAGACAGGACACCCAGACAGCGCTAGGTAGGCTCCACCATCTCCGCTGAAACAGCGGGTTTTGATGGGTTTTGTCGTACACTTCTCCACGAGGAGCTTGGAGCGAGATCCGTCCGAAGGTGTTGGCGTCTTGGGTGACGTTTCCCGCACTTTGCCTCTCCCTCAGAGCTTGAGTTTATGACAATAACCATCCATCCTGGTGACTGGTGTTTCCCCCCATCGCTCCAAGCAAACAATATACAGTCGCTCCTGCACCCTGCGAAGCCCAGCAGGATGACAAGGAGAGCTCCATGGGGAGGGCTCCTTGCGAGCCTGTCTGACAGTGTAGGCTCCGCCCGCCCTCGTCCGCGTCCGAAGGCTCCGCCGTTCGTAGTAAGGCCAGGAGCCCCCGTTCGTACGACCCTCCTGTTACTAGTAGTAAGGCTCCGCCCCTTCGCCCTTCGCCCTTCCTTTCAGCCGATCCGTTGGGCGCGCCGAGACGCTCCGCCCCGCCCGAGGACCTCGTCCACGTGGGTGGCGACGCTCTTGGACGAGGCGATTCCTTCGGGCGACGGAGCCAACGACCGGGACAATGCCAGGAACATGGGAAGAAGACCTCAAAAAACTGAGGGAAGATCCTCTGTTATTCTTTTGGAGGGGTTTTCATGTGGGTGATTTTCGGAGGTTCCAGGACCGTTCTTCCGTCGTGAACATGGAGCGGGTCACAAGGAAGAATCCTTCATGATCTTTGGAGAAGTTATCCACGGCACCTCTTGCCCAGTGGTTTTGCGAATGTGTTCGTGCATGGGGTGAGCGAACTGCAGGTGACATGCATTCAGAGTCTGAAGTGGGCTAGACGGTGGGGCTTGAACAGAAGCAGAACGTTAGAACAAGGTAGTCCACGTAGTCAGCTGACAGGAGGCAGTCGCACTTGCGGATTCATGGGTGATGAACCTTTGCCGATGGCGTCCCGTCACGGCGAGTCCAAGGTAAGAACCACATGTTCCGCTACTTGGCAGAACTCTTCTCCGTTCGTCACGGCCCACGGCCGTGATCTCCCGGTGTGTTGACTCGAGACTGCGTGGCCATGTGGGGCCGGCCGGGCGCCAGGTCTGGAAGAACGCTGATCCTCGCTGGTATCACCGACCATTCCATGTGGGGGATCCCGGGAGCTTCTGGGAGCAGCTGAGTTGGGGTTCTTGGGAGTTTGAGGGTGTTCTTCTGAGGAACAGATTGAATTATGTTATTATGTTTGGGAAGATGAGCGGAAGAGGTGGCAGCTTTTGTACCCACAGCCACGTCACAATACCAATATGGCTCTACCCATTGTTCAGTGGTCCGTTTGAATGGACAAGAGATCGGCGGACCCATTGGTTTGTGGGGGCCATCCTTTCCTTTCGGCCGTGGAGCTTTGGACCTTTGAGAAGCTGTTTGGTTTTTCTTTTGAACATCTACCTTCACCTGTCACCTATGTCCAACAGTTCTTGTACACATGCGACACCTGCCAATCACCACTCCCGGGCCGCCTGGCGCGCGCTTCCCAGGAGCAGACCGCCCTGTCGGCGCGTTTGTGCGCGGTTCCGCGCGGAACCCACGCTTCGGGTACGCTCTGGTGGAGTTGGCAAGGAGGGCCACGCCGCAAGGCGGGGAGAACGGATTCGACTCCAAGACTTGCCTTTTGGGCGACTTGCAAGACAGAACAAGAGAGCCTCCCAAGACCTGTGGTGCCAAGACCTGTGGTGACTTGTGGTGCAAGAACAAGGCCCAGAAGGGCAAGTCCTCCTCGGTTTCTCCGGACACCGCAGGTCGACCTACGCGGGTCGATGGTCGTCCGGCTCCTCGTCTCAGGTCCTGGCGGGCCGTGTGCTAGTCCTGGACTGCGGCACGCTGACTGAAGCTTAGCATGTCGCGTCGCACTCCAGCTAATTCGTTGCTATTTACAGTACATTCATGGCTCTTGAAATCCTCGAAGTGCATTTCGACTGCGCAGGCTCACAAAATCTGGTGGGCCGCGGCGGGTGCTTCTTGCGACTGCGCTCTCGTTGTGGTGCCATATGCGTTTTCGGACATGGTGGTCACTTTCGTCGTGGCAGGTGCAAGGGAAACCTCGTGTTTTAGTTAAAGTCGACTTTTCGTGACAGGTGCAAGGGATCGGAGCGGTTAACTTCGAAGTGCAGATTTCGTGGCAGGCGCGGCACTTTGGACATGGTGGTGATCTTCGACGCGCGCTGATTTTGCGACAGGTAATGAATCGTGACTTTAGGACATGTGGCTCGTTTGCAGAATTCGTGGCAGGTATAGTACCTTGTGAACCTCGCAATGCAGATTTCGTGGCAGGCATAGCACTTTGTGAACCTCGAAGCGCAACTTTGTCAACCTCGAAGTGCAAGTTTCGCACTTTGTGCCCTCAGATGCTCACTCTCTCAGTCTCACTCTCTCACTCTCACTTTCACTCACACGCTCACTCTCTCTCGCACTCACATTGATACTCACTCACGCTCGAATCCCAATGTGACTGCGCAGACAACTGCGCAAACGCTGCGCCTGCACAGTGAAATCATCCTCCACATTTCAACATCTCCCATTTCCACACATTTCGTCGCTATTTCACACGAATCTGACACGCCACGCTTCCATCCAAACCCCCGTCCAAAACGTTCCCCCAATGGCAGCGCCTTATAAGGCTCTACCGCGGACGGCTGCGAACGGTTGGGAACGGTTGTGAACGGTTGACAACGGCTGCGAACGCTACGAAAACGAGTCGCGAGAACAAGGCTCTACCTACCCCCAGACCCCCAAAGTTAAACGAGAACCCTTCGCTACGCATTCGGGAAAGCACCCTGACAAGCATAGGAGGATGAGACATGCTAAAGAATGGACCACCAAACCTCCACAAACTTTGTTGCTCAAGAACTGCAGACGTCAGGTTGGTTCACAAAAGAACAACACTTGTGGCCACAAATTCGTGCGTGTGTTTCGAACCATGTTTCTTCTGCCTGCTTGGATTTGTGGGGGTCCCTGCCGCAGTTGGAGGCTTCGCCATTTGTTGGACCTGAGGAACTTTAAGCATCCAGAGCAACGCCCCTTCGCGATCCACTTGGCCCGGGTGCTCGGTTTGTTGAAGCAGAAACATCGAAACCGGTGAAAGATGCGACATCCGTTGACAGTCAAGGACCTTTACAGTCCTTCATCATCAGACAAAAAATCACCTGAGACCCTGTCAAGTCCCTAAGGAATAGTGCTCCCCCGATCAGCCTCTGCTGGAGTTCTTCCGACATGGACACTGAAAACTGTGAGTCTATCCACCTAATTTAGCCTCACTTGCCGGCCGCCCTGACAGCACCTTCGTTCAACACTGCGCAAAACAATTTGGACATGTGACCACCCTTTTGGTCATCCCAAAGCAGATGTTTGATCCATTGAGTGACACCCACACCCTTCAAACTCAAAAACCTATATAGCTTGACTCCAAACAAGCATAGGAGGGTGCTACCCTGCCTTGGTGATCGAACCTCCACCTGAGTGCTCCGAAAAAAAAAGGAACACTGTTCTGAATGGCTTCCAGCGTGGCCACAGTGCCCATTTCCGGGCCTTTGGGACCCCGCGCTCCGGCCCCCGCCAACCGCTCGGTGCCCCAGTGCACCTCGTTCGGCGCCCGGTGAGGTGGATGACCACCGGCGCTTTGGTGGCCCCAGCAAGGCCGAGCGCGTGAAGGCGTTGTTGCAGCAGCCGAAGCACCAGAGGCACCGGCTTTTGGAAGGGTTTGGGGTGGTTTGGGGCCAGTGTGTGGCTTGTGGGGGGGGGGGGGGGGGAGGTTGGGAGACTCTGGGTGGGGCCAAGTGGCCCTGGTGGCCGTCCGCAGCGACAAGTAGCTGAACTGCAACTGCTATTGGTGGTAGTAGCTGAACACAGTTGGTGGTTTGCCGGCAGTGGCTCCACCTTCGAGATGGCCCCACCTGGCTAGATGTTCAAAGACACCAATAAACTTTCCAAAGAGCTCTCCAAATTCACCTTTCTTAGATCATGAGACGGGGAAAAAAACCAAAGAATCCTACTCTTTTGGGGCAGCACCTCCATCCCCCCTTTGTGCCCCCTGCCAGGGGCTGCGTCGCCGTGGCGGCCGGGGCGGAGGCCTCGTGTCCAGCGCTGGTGGAGGCGACCGGCCCGGAGGAAGGGATTCGTTTGAGCATTTTATTGGAGTGATGGTTGAGTGATGGGGTGGGCCGCCGGCCGCCAATACTGCGGCCCACAGGCGCGGCGCGTGTGGAACGCCAGCATCGCCGTTCCGGTCGACGTTCCTGCGGCCAGCGATGAGCTGGCAGGAGATGGGGCCGTGTGTGTTGCGTTCGGTCGTGGTACATACAGTAATGAGTACAGTGCAGCAAGTGGTATGTGCCATATGGGCCTAGAACGCATTTGACCTCTGTTTTGCTAGGAAGAGATGGAACACATATTTTGGTAACAGTCGTAAATCAGGTTCTCTGTACATCTGAGAGTAAAGTGACTGTACTGTACCATCTGTGACACCCGTTTTTCCGCGTGTCACGAGCTCCCAACCCAGGAGCCGATGCCTGGTGCCCCATTCCCCGCGCCGATGCCAACGCGTGGGACGGCTGTCAGCGACCGGTGGTGCTGGACCGGTGGTGACTCGTGTGTGTGCAGACTGTGGATGGTGAAGATGGGTCAAACCATCAAGTGGTATACCACGAAGCCATAATCGTCGAAGTCCGGCTCCGTTTTCTGTTCTGTTGACATGTCTCGCTCTGCCGGTCGAGTCTCGTCCCACTGGTCTCACCGGGAAGTTCACTGCTACACCGCTGGTGACTGAACCAGCAGAAGAAACCCTACGAGCTGCGTGCCACCCTGTGGGGAGCGCGCCTGAAAGGCGCAATCAGCATCATGGGCAGCACCAAAGCACTCAGGGCGGGCAGCGGGGAGAACCCAGGACCACGCTTTCTTTGGTCCGGCCCCTAACCGCCCAACCGCCGCACTAGCCTAGTTTGGACCATGAAGTGGAGCATCGGAACTAGAAACCAAGGGCCGCCACCTTGCACACGATGAAGTTTGTCAGGTTCATCAAAGGGGGACAGTGCCACCCCAACCACTGCAGCCACTCTAACCGAGGGGTTCTGTTGGAGTTATGGTTGGTGATGCTTTCCAGCGTTCTGCAGCTTGCTGTGCAGTAAGGTTGGTTGGCACTGGCCCAATTCGTTTGGACGCCTATTTTCTTTAGGGGACTCTTTCTGGGGCCAAAGGTTGGTTCCTTCTGGGTTAAGACTCACCCCTGGCCCTCCCGCGTTTCGGCCCATGACGTGGTTTCGTTCCATATGGACCCCTTGGCCCGTTGGCCGCGTTTCGCGGCGCTCCGTCCGTCCTCGGCAGGACAGGACGACGGGTGCAGAAGAGGCGCTATGCTGGAGGTGGAGCGAGCTGAAGGACGTGGAGGAGGAGATGGTCCGGGAAGCTCAGATGGGAGGTGTCCGATGTGTCCAGTCCAGTGGGCTCAGACGATGGGAGTAGATGGGAGACAAAATACCAGGAGTCACATGGAGTTGGGTGGTTTTTAGTCCCATCCAGTGAGTGGATGTGACAGGGGCGCCCGTCAGTGACTGCTGGTATGTATTTGTCTGATGTGGAGAGAACATGAGAGAACCACACTTGGGAGCCCATCTTGGACAGGTTAATAGTCAAGGACCCCGAAAAGAGGTGAGGAACGGGGTGGGGTGTCCATTCACCACTCCGACAGTGGGTCCTGGTAACAGTTTCATGGAATAGGGAGATCTCCAAGTTAACTGGGCGCCCAAACTCGTTTATGGGTAGGTTGATACACACTCCAAAAATTGAACCCCCCAGCTTGCCAGGCAGGCAGTTGATTAGGACTCCCACGTCGTTCGCTTCGGCTTCGTCGTTCGGGAAACCGGTGGAGCGATGGAGACCGAGCGAGCGATGGCGATGACGAGCGATGGAGCGAGCAGAGTGGTTTTGGAGCTTCCGTCTTTGATTTGGGGTTTAGGGTTTTGGGGGCTTTTTGTAGTGAAGAGAGGAAATCCCGGGAATGAGGGGTGAGTTTCGGGGTTTTGGCTAGGGGTTGAGGGGCCTTCCAATGGAATGAGCTTCAAAGTCCGGGAATGAGGGAGTCCAGTAGGGAGCTCCAAAGTGTGACTGGAGGGGTTTCGGAGGAGTTCTGCTGTCCTTTCTGCTTCCTGTGTACCCCGTTGCGTCCTCAGAGATCGAGCTAGATTCTCAATCCCCCGTACAAGTCCTGGCTCACCATGTATTCACAGAGCTTGAATCCTGAAGACGCATCGTTTTACCAAGGATTTTGCACTTTCTTTCTTTCTTTCTTTCAAATGGACGCTTCGATTGGACGGACCGGCAAGGATTTAAAACCAGATCGTTCCCATCTGAGATACCCGATCTTTTGCGCAACTCTCATCCCATGACCGGCCGCCCGTACTGGCTACTGGGCGACCGAAAACCGCCCACCTCCCCCCAGGTGGACTGGTCGATGGTCCGAAGCGAACCCCAGGGGCTTCGTGGTGTGGTCGGTCTCCCGGCTTCTTGGATGGGCCACACCCTACTACCGACAACTCCGGGCCGCCCAAGGGTCCGGGTCGACCCGGGGGGGTCGCCGTGCACCACGTGGACGCCCCGGTCGAGGTGATGCTCGCGCCGTGGACGCCGCCGCGCGCGGTGGACGGTCCGGGCGGGCGGCACCACGTGCGGCTTTGGGAGTTCGGGCGCAGGGGACACCCAGCGGGGGATGGAGGAAGGGGCGGTGTCGTGCAGGACAGGAAGTGCAGGACGATGGGATGTGTGACGCTGTTACTGACATCGTATGTAAGCAAAGATCCGGTCGAATCCAGTGGAATCTTGTGAAGAGGTAAGAAGAGGTTTGTGAAACCCATGTCGACATTTTTAACCTTCTTCTTTTCGGAGAAGCGGCCTGCTTTCCAGCGGCCTTGATCCAGATCTTCCACTTCGTCTGATCAAAGTCTTGGCCCGGTCTAAGACCAAAAAGCTGAGACCCTGAAAGCAAGAATAGGAGAGCACAAGTGCATGCAGTGCGCATGGACTTGTTCAGACATTGGGATCCTCAAGAGGGTATGAAGCGGAATCCTTTGATCAGCATCCTAGTCCTTTTGATTCCCAAACATCCTCAAACACTTATTTCAAGATTCCTGCTACAGATCTGCCATAGTCGCTTCCTCTTGCGCCATGCCCGACCCTACAAGACTGGGCTTACCACAGGATTCGGAAGCGCCGGAAGCCCAAGCGCGACCGGATGCCGTGATTCATGAGAGTGGGCGGAATTTGAGGGACGTGTGTTAATTGCGACGGAAACCAGTGTAATTCCAAACAGTAGTGTTATTCCTACTTGTCTAGTGTGTTTTTTGCGCTTGTCCAAACTTGAGGTGTTTTTTGCGTCGATTCTTTCCGCGTAATTACAAACAGTAGTGTTATTCCTACTTGTCTAGTGTTTTTTGCGACAGTGTGTTTTTTGCGCCGGTCCTACCTCCAAGGTGTTTTTTGCGCCGGTCCTAGCTCCAGGGAGTTTTTTTCGCCGGCGTGTTTTTTGCGCCGGTCCTATAGCTCCAAGGTGTCTTTTGCGCCCGTCCTAGCTTCAAGGTGTTTTTTGCGCCGGTCCTAGCTTCCAGGTGTTTTTTGCACCGGTCCTATAGTTTCGAGGTGTTTTTGCGACGGTCATGTTTTCGAGGTCCTTTTTGCACCGGTCCTATAGTTTTGGGCTCTTTTTTTGAACGCCGGTCTTCTTTTCGAGGTCCTTTTTCCGTCGGTCTTATAGTTTTGTTGCTCTGCGCAGAGAGTCGACGCAGGCCTTTGCGCGCAACCAAAAGCCAATGGCGCATGCAGGGGGTGGGCCTCTAAATAAGCGGGAGAGGGGCACATACACCAGCTGATAGTGGGCATGAAACATTGGAGAGGTTGGTTGCAACCTTGAAAGCCCGATCAAAGCAAAGCGACAACAAGTTTTGGGCGCGAAGCGAGCGGCAGCGCATGCAGGGTGAGCCTTTAAAAAAGCGGGAGGGGGTGCGGGGG